TTAGCTATAATAGATTTCAGTGTAGGCTTTATGGATTGAGTTTTCGTCAAAGCATCTCCCTAACAGAAATCTGAAGGGATTGTGCGACGTTTGCGCGGCACTCTCATGCATTGGGCTATAGTCACAATACTATATCCCGTCAAGCCTCCGGTATGAATTGCGGGGAAACTCCCACAACTTCCCCCATGCCTGCATCATGTAATCCCAATATACCTATGATTATGAGATGTGTCTTATAAGGCGTTCATTCAGTGCTTTGTAAAGTTTTATTGACGTTTAATAATGACAAGTTTAGGGATTAATTGAATCTTCAAATTGACTTTCATCCTCTGAAAAACAACAAAACTTATTAATTTAGAGTTCGGTGGAAATTTAATAGAATTGTAAATAATTAAACACCAAGAAAATGATAGTTCGCTGAGTTAATAATACAATACTAAATTACAATGAAGTGTTGTCTTAAACGTAAATTGTAGAATACGCCATCCACCCGAATTCTCCTGATTTCTGTCGGAACTTATATCGCATAGTTGAGCTAAAATTTTTCCGAAATGCCATTGCTCAATGATGAAATTACTGGAAATTTCATTAGAATAATTGCCAATAAATTGAAAATTGACAATACATCCTTCATATTTTGATAAAAAGCAATACATCAAATAGATACTGAATCTATGTGAGCGCATGAATTGAATCCAGATGTAACATATATGCGATATATTTTTTTAAGGAAAACAATTGGAGATGTCCCATGTATGTGACATACAACGATTGACATATATTTTTTTCGTGGTAGAAGGCATTGCGCATCTTTCAAGTTTGGAATGTACAAAAGAATAGGGATTCACATTCATGGTTTTGTGCACGGAATCCGAGATGGAAATGTAAGGATACTCTTCCCTATCTCAGAACGACTACGGCCAAGTTTCGCACCACTTAAAGTATCTATTATCGCAACAATACAGATATAAATTCTTGATAAAACTTATCCTAATGTTTTGTAATCCTGTTGCTTAGGAGAGATTCAAGAAGTTTCTCTCCAATTGCTGGTAGGAAATCCTGAGGAGTCGCTGGACTACCCGATTACAAAACGTCGGGCTCAATTTTGACAGATATTTCTCTCCGCGAATATTCAATAGCTCTCGCCCACTCAATGTATGAATTTTCGAGGATCAAGAAGAAAAGAACGCACTCAAAAAATGTTAACACAACAATATGTTTTCGTTTTATTATTATTGAAGAATTATTCAAGAAGCATGTCTAACTTATTAATTCGATGACTCGAATATTGACAAGAAAGTCATATCTTAGTTTCAGAACTGGTAAACTTCTGTCAAGAAATTCTGTCGGGGTTTCAAACATGGTGATAATCTATTCTCAATGCAAGCGATATCGTTTTCTTGGAAATTTTTGAGTTTGAGTTCCTCCATACGAGTAGACACGCACTTGTCAACAACAAAAAATGTTCTTCCAGTGTGTAAACGGATAGAAAAATTGACGAAAAATGAGGTGACCACTCTGTAATCCTAGAGCGAAATTTCAGTATGTAAGACATTCAGAATGGAATTTTGCAGAAAAATTATGTGCCAATCACATAGAAATTCAAGTTGTTTCTGCAATTTTTCACCGAATGACATTTCGACAACACTTGCTCGTGAACAGCGTATTATTAACTAGTCAGAAATATGAGGAGAATGATGAATTAGCATTTTATGTCGCCTAAACGTTCATTGTTTACTAGTTTCTAGGATCTTTGAAATTTCGCCAGTAATTTTTTTACAAATCTTTGAGCGTATGAAAGAAAATAATCTATTTTTTTCCAGTTTTATAGCTCCCCTGAATGACTCAGCCATAAATATCTCAATTGAGCTTGGGGCAACTGACTTTTTCATGCCGATGTTTAGCGAGAATGACGGCAATTCAAAAATGCGTTAAAAAATTATGTGAGTAAAGGAGGATTTAAATGAATAACCATTAAAAAGATCTTATGGTACGCATAATCAAATGCAACGAGATCGTTAAAAAAAATTCCCTCAAATTGGCTCTTAAACTTCGATGCATCTAGGTCCCGTTAAACAAATAGGACTTGGGGTCAAATTTGTCCACCCGCGTAAATTGTCCATGAAAATTTATCATTTTCGCAGGATTAGCGTGGAAAAAATGAGTTACACTATACAGTTATACGCTTTTCGTCAACACTGGCTTAACCTTAAAAATTGGACATCTTTTTGGAAGTCAGTTGGTGAAAGAATACAACATTGGATAAAATTAAACAAGTGGCAGCCCCAACCCTAGTTGATTAAAGAATTTTCTTTCTGTTTGTAATGTTTTCTCAGGAAGCGATGGGGCGAAATAGACCAGTGGAACGGAATAGACCCAAAAACGACTAGCTTCACTGTTTAGTTTCTTTACCCCCCTCCCACCTCAATAATCGTTAAAAAATATATATATATGACAAGATGAATTACACACTTAAGACGCTACAGGGGAGAAAAATTATTAGAATTTATAGGTTTGATTCTATTAGATTTTCGAAGAATTTCGAATTTCGAAATTACAGAATTTTCATGGATGTGAAAATCATAATTTTATAATGCATTCGAATTACCAATTTCATATAAATATTTGCTGTACAATCGTATTGAATTTTTAGTAAAATCAGAGATTTTCTCATTTATATTATCTTAAATGGCGGTTAGTATCACAATCCTGAAAATTCTACAACACCTTTATGACAACTATCAAGTTTTCTATTGATTTTGGGGGCATATTAACTGAAAACTGGACTTTCAAATTCGTTTGTTTGTTCTGAAAATTCAATAAAATAGAACACTGTTAATATATATATTAATAATTTGTAATAAATTCGTCACGGGCAGTGAAAAAAATAGCTCAACAGATTCAGTGATTTCGTATGATTCCCCGCTCCATCTATATATTGCCCTATCAATATGCAAAAACATAATTTATTATGAGGTGCATTCTATATGATAGCAGAAGATGATTTTTTTCCAAATTCTATTCTTCCGTCAACCGATCAGGATTCCATCTATTGTTGCCTCATGATACAAAGCTTTCAAGCTGGAAAAAATATCTCAGAAGTGACCGTTATCCGTTAATCAACCATTAATATCATGAGTTAATATGAATTAACTCATTTTGAATACATGGACATTATGACGATTTTTATGGCCAGTTGATTTTTGACGGTTTATATCATCACGTGAATAATTTCACTATGCAATATCACTAGTTTTTCGTCATATTTATTGAGAATTTTCTGATAATTAGTTGAATTTTCCGCAACGGTGGGGGCAAAATACACAAGCCACAATACGGCCTGCGTGTTCGATGCCAGGATCCAAAATAAACGATCCTTCCCCACATGATTATCATTCGCGCCTCCGGCATGTGGGCACGAATCCTTCATTTTTCCTCTATAGGTATTAGGGTACATACTATTATTATGATAGTGCCGTAATTTCGCCCTACTCACGTCAAATGAATCAACTCCATACGGTGGAGCACCGACATTTGTCGACAATGCATCTCTCGAGCACACTCGTCGAAAAATAATAAATGGAATTAAGTTGAGGACTTGTGGACTTGATTCAGTTATCATAAAAACAAAACTGTAGGTAGATCATTTGATTAGTAATGTCTGCGGCTATCTACCATATTCTATTGATAATATGCAAAGATAGCCCAGGGAAAGCTAAATAATAACTGGTGATATACTGTGAACTAGTCCCTTGTTATTTATAAAATATTGTGTCAGACACGTATAGTGGAAGCTGAGAAATAACGTAAATCTTACGTTTTTAGGCTTTTTCTAAGTGAAATAAGTTTCAAACGAAAAAGGAATATACGAAGAATGGAAACTGATGAAAAATTATGTGATAGTTCCATGAACGTGAGGCGAACTGTAGATTCGTAAAAAATAACGAAATAAACCGACATTTTTACGGCACTGTGACATAATTTGCCTGCATCGTCCAGTAAATATTACACCGGACTGAAGTAAAAATTCAAGATAGTTCCGTAATTTTTGATAATGTAACACTTGGACCCCACGCTCACGTACCTGTTACGCAATTCTTCCTAAATTTAATTCTCCGTCTATGGTTTTTGAAAAAAAAACCTTCAGTCTAATCGTCAGTATGGACTGCAATCAAAAGTTTCGTGGGAATGAAAACATTTTTCTCAAAATGACATTTTTCATCTTTTAACTGGAAATTTTCGTATAGTGATCCTATCTTCCGAGCTGGTCTATATTGGAATAGTTGATAAAATCCCCCGCGACGCTATAGAAATAGTAAAAAAGTAGAATTTAGTGCGAGTTCAGCCATTCTTTTGCTTATACCTCTTTGATGAAGAGTTATTACTGTTCGTTTGAGACCACCGAGCCTTGTGCCAATACTTCAACAATGCAACAAGGTTTAAAGGTTGATTGAAACTCTCGGCAAGATAAGGATCTGATTGAACTTACAGTAATGAAATTCAGACTCAATGGAACTTGAATAATGAAAAAGAATATGAAAATGTATATCCTAATGATGATGATAACGGGAGATGCATACACGTGTATGGTGTATTCATTAAACGTGACTTGGTTGCAATACATCATGTTGAAACCACGCGAATAGGTGATATAAACTCGCACGCGGAGTCAGAACTAGTGGGCGTCCTGTTTATAACCTGTGGGTCCCAGTGCGCTTCGTTTCCCAGCGCCGTTACGTCGTCATTAGCCTTCTAACGGACGTGTAAGCGTTTCAGGGAATACACCCTAGTCAATTATTAATGATAACTTCTGTTTTCTCTTTGGTGGTATAATAGGACCACTTGTTAGACTGGCAAACTATTTGATAGTATTTTATTGGAACGAGTGAATTTCGACAAATGATGAAATAATTTTTCAATCCTTCTGGTATTCGAGGTGATGATGATGATGATCGGTGATGTTAGTCGTATAAAAGTATAAGAACAATAATGAGACTTGCCTTCGCAGGTAAATTGTCCATAATGTTTGCCGCTGCTCTTGTCACCACAAACGACACACTCGATATTTGGCGATTTGTCCGTCTGGGAGCTGCCTGATTGTGAGCTATTAGCCTGACTACCGGGGGTCGTGCTGGGAGGTAGGGGATCCCGTGGTGTTAATACACCACCCACAGGCACCAGACAGGTTATATCCTCAGGCGTTGCCGATGGTGTGAGATGAGTTGGGGGCATTGGTGGTGGGCATACTTGTAATGGACCACCAGAATTATTACCACCGGGACCACCTTGATTACTGTTTGGATTACCACCACCGCCGACTATACTCGTGGATCCAGGGTCCCGCGGTGTCCACGAGGGTGGCGGGGCGACCAACGCCATCGAGGCGGTGGTGCCACGGGGTGGGAACCCCAGCTCCAACGTGCCGGTGAGCTCGGGGTGATGATGTCCCGCTGGTATGCGACCAGGGAACAGGCTCGCCGTCGCGGGCGGATACACCACCCCGGCGGTCGCCAGGGCGTCCGCACCTCCTGACCCCCCACGAACCACCCTGACTTCCTTTTTTGACACCCTTCTTTAGCCTGGCCAACCCTTTCCACCGCTTTCTCTTCTAATTCCGCTACTTCTCCTCTCACTCTATATACATCTAGTAACTTTATAAAGATGAGATGTATTAGTATATGTTTTTTTCTTGTACAAGTTATGAAAGGTTCAACTGCTGCTACTCAATGCCGAAAATATGTAAAATATTTTCTGGCTACTCCGAAGTACTGGGACTGACACAAATTATACAGGAGTAAGGTAGTCTTAAATAAATTCATAAGACTTGTTCTCAAACTAATAGCATGTTTGAAAAATTAAACGATATCCATAAGGGATTGTCCTTTGCATCGCAGGGCATAAGATGCTGTTAATGATGACAAGAATTATGACATTCGTAATTGCAGCAACATACTGCCGGGAAGTGTATCTTCCTTTGATGGTAGTAAGGAATCGGGCGCGCGCCACGGCGCGCGTCCGCGCACACTAAGCACCAAATTGTTCAAATAACCTCACGGTCACCAAAATGGACCATTTCCATTCACTAATTTCACAATAATTAAACAATGCATGAATAGATAAATTGACGAATGACCTATTAAATTCACGTATGTTAGCAAATATTCACTTCACCTCTTTCCGTCACACATCACTTGTTCTTATCCTCAAAGCGAAAGGGAGGACAAGAAGGGGTATATACTTCTGGTAACCGATCTGATTCTGCACTGATCAACAGTTAAAAGTTAAAGGTTAATCAATTATTCAGGGTCTTTATAATTTATAAGTTTGTTTTTCCAAGTCATCGTTGCCGTTATCCGCTAATGATGCATTATGTGTAAGTACATCGACGGAAAATTCCCGATGCAAGACGAGCATGATATAAACGTAGTGGTGAATAATACATTGGCTTCCAAAATGGAGCGAAAAAACTTGATAACTGATAACAACCGGCAATGATGAAAAGAACTGTCACATTGTTTTTCCACGATTGTTAGCGAATTTTGACGAAAGAGCACGTTATTATTTTTGGATGGTAGGCGACACGCGAAAATAAATGGGATTAAAAGGAGACCTAAAAGATGCTCCAACACTTGCGCGCGACTATTCTTGCGGCCGACTCGAGACCAACTGCTGACTGAGGCGACCCCTGACACCGACCTGGCTGCCCCCACCAACCGAGCTCTGCGCTCGACCTCGTCGGATTCTCGCGGTTCGCTAGTTGCCATGACTACTGAGGGTGGGGTCGAGTACGGGGCGCGCCCCGGTCTTCCTCTCATTGGCTACGGCACTGCCCTAACTCCCTCTCCAATTTTTCCATCATCTCGGTCTGCACTATCGCACGCTTATCCGTCCTAGGGAGTACCCACTTCACTTCTTCTTAACGTCTACTTTTTTCCCTCACACTTTGCCCAACGCGTAACACATGGATATACTCTTAACTTTCTCTCACTCTGTATCTCTCGCCAACTCCACCACTATTCTTTCAACATATATCTAACTCTTGAGGTCTCCGCTATCTTTATGTCGTGCATGCGCAACCATCTAATGATACTTGCCCATCCTTCCAAAATTTATATTCACCACTTACATACGCATATATTCTTAGAAATGTTAAATTTTCAAAATTTTCAATATTATGTTCAATATGAAACTTACCGAGTAGGCAATGATCCAAAAGTTCGGCGTAACACCCATTGACATTTTAAATACAGCTTCAATTTAAAATCTTTTCAAGAAAATAATAATCCGTAATATTGTAAGCAGGCATTTGATAATATAATACTTTTATATTTATTCATCGATGTGAGAAATATCAATGTATTTGGGTCAAGTGATTTATTCTCTCATTTTTTACATATTGTAACTGATTGTCATGCCGTAGAACGATTTTAAAGGGAAGGTGAGATAGGGCATAAAAATCAAAGCTGGAAGACACTTGTCACTTGCAGGGTGTGAGGGGATGAGGGGATGAGGACATTTCTTCCGTGCCCTTCCTATATCTAGTTTTTTCGTTGACTTTTTCTTTACAGTTCCAACAACGGAGGTTGATACTCTAAGATGGTAGGAAGAGAAGGGTGTCCACTACCGAAGTAGATGGAATGACTCGGGTCATTGCCCCGTGCCTCCATCGTGTCGACCCTTGAATTGGCTTTAATTTATGTTTTCATCTTCATTTCTGTGTCAAAGGAAAACTTTATTTTTTCCCCGCTTAATCATTATCCACCTTGTAAGAGAGCTGGGTGATTAGTGAGTATTTGTTTAAACATACCTGAGGCTGGGTGAGTTGATGTCCCTATAAATAACCCACGGAGTCTTGAACTGAACTCAATTATTTGCCCTTTGTCTGAGTTTAATGTAGATAAAAGTCAACATTGACGTCGCAGGGCAATTTTAGGTATTTGTTTTGGCGATCGATGCTGGTGCATAGTGCATCTATGTTCACGGGCGCTTTGGGGCCCGAAATACGTGCAGAAGCACGCGGAAGCAAAAATTGTCTGAAAATATCGTGTCTTATTTATGGTTGATGACATGCCAAATGTATTGTACATTTGGCTTTGATATATATAAGCGAAAAATTTGATTGCGGTCAAAACCGTCAAAGAAGAGCCTGATAACAATCAAGGGGGTGAATGAGGCAACAGGGCGCTTAGATTCGGTAGTGGGGTGAACTGACATATCAATCACTATATATAGAAAGCAGTACACTGTGTTCGCATATCCTCTTTTCTCTGTTGCCGTCTGGCTGACTAGGCCTATTCTATAGCGTGTATAACCACAGGGGTACAAGTGTGTCGACCAAGGGGTGCGCACGAACAATGCCCCCTCCTCCTTCATCTCTTTTATCTTCTCCCGAATCTTTTTTTTTCAATGTGCTCTGAACATTGTTACCGGAAATCATCTTATAATTACTTTTTGTACGTCACGAGCGTGCTCATGTATGATGAAAAAGACCTGCCGAGTTTAAAACTCAAGCATCACTTTGTCCTGTGCATTAGGAGGTACCAACCAAACAAGACATTACAATTCCTATTATTTTTCTCGTCAAACTAAAATCAGTTGCCGGTTATTTTTCTTCGGTTAGGCAAAATCCCAGCATAAAACGACCAAGTTTCTTGTGGAAGAGTGGAAGAGTTTGTCTCTTTCTCTTGTGCAAGTACAAGTACTGTGAGTAGAGCGGTTTCATATTTCTCATGTTTTGCAAGAGAAAGAGAGATGAAACGCCGCGCCCGCCTCTCTTCAGCTTTCCTTCCTCTTCACCCTTATCTCCTTGCGATGCTCCCGGGAGTTCCCTTTTGTTCGCACTCTTTCGACTGTTAATGCCGCAAAATTAACTCACCGGGAGTGGGAGAAGAAGCCATGTAGTTATATTGGAGTTTTCCACAGAAACTTATCCGTTTTGTGGCTGAACTATTGTCCCACAAAGAGAAGAGGATATTATTTCAACATTATCATGCTGCCTGAGAGACAGGAGAAAAATGCGCTTTAATTAATACATTTATGAAGGTCCTGTGGCTTAAATTTGTCCCACCCTCCCAACGCTCTCTGCCTTTCCTCGTTTCGTTTTCAACAGACAATACAAGTGTATATATGTCCAATAAGATTTCCGTTTATCCTTCTTAATTTCATGATGCTTTCCTTATATTTTTTCTTATCTAATTATCCCATAAGAATTTACGTTTTCTAAACGACTCCATACCTACACTTGGGCATATTATTTGTTTGAGTTATCGGCGAAATACAGCATCACTTTTTTATGGCGCAGAGAAAAATAAAACGGGAAAAAATATTCTTCAATCAAATATAAAACATTTTTATGTATAAAATTGAAGTATCTTTCATTCTTCATTCAGGTCTATTCCATTTTCAATATTATATTATAGAAAATTAATTTCTTAGACGAAGTCATTGATCACGATCTTCTTAAAAATTCGAGGGATCCGTAAATTGAGCAGCTGTTCACAATAACCATAGTAAAGAACGCACCATATTGAAAATAGAATGTCTCGCTTCGCTCGGTAGAATCGCCGATTCTGGTTTCACTTACATAAAATACTATACGAGTCCCGTACATTACGGGGTTTTCAAAAAAACCCATTACGCCTTCTGACGGACAATATATTATTTCTTTACCGCAGAATCTTATTATTTAATTATACATGAATCATATATTGAATGAAGAATTGTGTAATAATTTAGAATATAATATCATAATAGAAAATTTCAAAATTAATTGACGGGAGTGCAAAATTTACTATAGAGTAAAAGCAACTTAACTGAGCAATTCAACAATATTTTATAAGATAGCATACCATACATTGAATTTAAATACAATGTTAATGGATCAATATTGATTTCTGAGTCGAAAAATTACTGGGTCCTTATCTTTCTCATGTCTTCCAAGCTTCTCGGAACTTTCAGTGGGTTCGTCATGACATAAGAAGATATAGCGAAGACAATAATCTTCCCATCCTCCGACCGTTGGAGCAACATAGATTGTCCTTGTGTCTTCATTGTCTTCCTTTTTGGGGACATCGGTCAGTATGCCTGTTCTTGTCTAATTTGATCGCTAGGTACTGAGGGTTCCGGCGAGTTTTGAAAGTGCCACATTTTTTTTTCAATCAATAAAAGAAAATATAAAGGGAATATCTTGTGTTTATTAATCAATTACATAATTATCAATTCTTTAATTTATTTAAATGAAATAATTACATATTTTACATTACATACACTATGACTATTTTCGACTAAGTTTCTGGTAGATTAATTTACATTATAAAATCATTGCTACTATCATTATTGCTAATTGTATTATAATAAATTCCAATTGTTGGAAACAGCTCACTCCTGCAGTTCTCCACACCATTCTGAAAAGAAAATAAATTTCATTCACGAACTTACGTAGCGAGAATCTGTCCTGTCTACTCAGCAAAATAGAAATACTTGCTTCTGAAATAGAATATATACAAAACTAGAATTATCGATTTGACCAGAGAAACAATATTGAAAACTAGAATACTACACGTTCATATAATTCATATAATAATTGAAATCATATAATATTTCCAGCTACTTACCTCCAATTTTACGGACCCCAACGCTGAATGTTCTGGATTTTCAAGGGCCCACACTTGAGCTATAACCCCAATATATTTCTCATTATGGCCCATTTAAACATCGTACAATTCATTTTTTAAGTTCCATTGTAGTTTATACTTTAGTAATCAATAACATACTAATAAGCCTAGCATGAAGCTAATGATAAAAAGAATGTTTAGAATTGTTATTATTGTAATTGTAATATATAATGATTTGGAAATCAGAAAATTGTTTATGTTAATATACGATTATTTAAAAATATTTCCTCAACATCCATTCCTCTAAATTTTTTCAAGTTTTACTGACAAGTAAAATCTTTCTAAGTTGTGATCTTTCAAAAACGTGAGAATACTTTGACAGCAAGTGAGTGATATTAGTCTTCCCATCAAAATTACTGTTTCAACATAATTTGATGTAAACAAAACAAATGTAAATAAAACAAATATAAACAAAACAAATACGTTGGGAATGAAAATAAATCTCACCAAATACAAACTACGAATTTCGTACTGTAATGTCCAAACACTCACGATTTTCAGAAATGAAAGGTTACAATTTTAGGACAGGAAAAACAATTTCGGATTTTCTCCTCAACATAACTATTGCAAGATATGACCTTCATGAGATATGATCCGTCCAAGGTATTCCTACAATTCTTTTTCCGCGATTTCACTCATATTGAGAGGCGCAAATTGATTATATGTACTATTTTATGGCAAATGTGCATGTACAAAGTGAGAAAATTAATTTTTAATTGTAAAAATTCATACCATAGATTGTAAATTTTTTTACCCCCTGCAGCTTACTCAGGGTATATGTAAAACTAGGAATGCGTTTGTTGATCTCACTACGTCGATGCGACAGCAATCGTGATTTACAGTGCATCTAACCCGTTGGAAGTGTTGCGCACATTTGTCTACAAGTCACATAAAGACCTTTCGACTACATTGTCGATTATCATCATCATGTTAGCTGTTTGACAAAAATTATTTATAAAACCTAAAAAAAATTAGAAATAAATTTTTTTGAAGTTTTTTTTG